GCATTATTTTCCGCCGTGCATTTGTTTATATAACTTCATACATTTCTTATAGTTGTGGAAAAAACCGCCGGGAAATCTTGCAGTGTGAATAAGTTCTTATTCCGACAAAAAATACCCAATATTCATATCCATACTAACATAAATGAAATGTATCTCAGTCAGTCTGTCTATTTGTTACCTTTTGACGACTAAACAGCAAACGGATCTTAATGAAATTTGATATATAGATAAATCGTTTACCTCAAAAAAATATGATATTAAAGTTAGTGCAGGCGATTAAATTAAATATAAATTTAATTAAATTTTAGAAACGTGGGGCGAAGCTTATGATCTTTCTTGGAAATTACAAATAAAAAATGAAGTAGTACTTACAAAATTTAGACGGTATAAGTAATATAATAATAAAACAGGTTAGATAATTAATTCATCAAAATACATCGCAATAAAAAAACACGAGTAACGTAAACAACATTAAGTGTCATTAGATTAAAGCAAGAGTAATAATCAAGTAAGTTAATAAGATTTATAATGCTACGTTGTATCCAGTTTCAAAATTAATAAAAAGAAAAATATTCTCTATAAAAATATAAATATTCTAATATAAGTTTGTCTCTGGTATTCAAAAGGCTGGCCGGTAAAATGAAATAGGCACTCCACCGCGCGCCGCACCGAGGTTTAGTAAACTCGGGCATAATGGAAACCGCTGATACCATTATCATTGTGTTATCACAGAACAGTATAATAATAGCATTTCTGAGAAGCTAGTGTCAATTATCGAGACTTCCTTGAAAATGTTATTTGCCTGCGCAATTACGATTGAGGACTTCAAAACAATGCACGGAATTTTCGCTTCTACATTAATGACTACGAAATGTAGGAGCACAAATATGGGGGGAAGAGGATTGTTAGTAATGTGGTCTGTTGAACCCATTGCTAGCAATGTACCATGTCATGGAAACCATCTTGATAAATTATTTGTTATTTAGTGACTATAGGCTACCTAACTTGACCTCATGTTCATATTAATATCCTTCACTGGTGCCCCGTCAGTATAACCGTTAGCGCTGGCAACAGAACCATTCCATTATCATCCATTAGAAAAACCGCGTTGTTAAAATACATTGACAAGAATTGACATTATTTTATATTTTTTCCTTGCAGAAGAATTGTGGTAGACCTGTTTGATTATGCATTACATTATTACATCACATTCATGTTCTGTTCATGTAGGCTATATATGCAACGGTTACCACTTTCCATCAGGCCGGCCGTAAGCTAGATTGCCATTCCAATTACAAAAACAAACATAATGGATTCGATAAAAAAAAACAGAATGACTACGGCTTATCTTTTGCGTATGATAATAATCATCATACATATATACAATATGACGTAGAGGAATTACCGGAATCCCTGATTAAAAGTTTGTTCAGAAACGGTTCAGTGGAATAGGTAGTACATCTTATCTTATCAGTTACTAAAATAATATTTCATAATTATAATCTTCGGTGTTCAATAAGTACATAATTGTAATAATAATATTTATAAATTATTTCTGTCGCAGCGTTCTGTTCAGCGCACCTATCTGTTGGTTTATGTCTGATTTTTATATTTTATACTTTTGATACAAAACTAGGAAATTGAATTTGAATATTTTGCTACAAAATTATTACAGTATACATTAGCGATAAAAGAATATCATTTATGAAATTATGTATAGTAACCAATGCATGTCAAGTTTTTATATTAATATTTTTCCCCTGCTATAATCATGATAATTATTTAAAAATAATTTATTTACAATATATTGAGCAAAAACTATACACTACTGAAATGCGTATGCTTCGTTGGGCAGGTGGAGTTACACTTAGGGATAAAGTCCGAAACGAGCATGTAAGGGGCAGCTTCGAAGTGATACCAATTACCGAAAAGTTTAAAGAATGTAGACTTCACCTAAATCTACATTCTTTAAACTTTAAACTTTTCGGACATATTCTGCCTAAACCTGAAAACCACGTTGTGAAAAAGTGCCTTTCCATGGCTACAAGAAAAAGAGGACGTGGCAAGCCACCAACTACCTGGTTGACATGAATGAGTTGGGCTTGTCAAATGACTGTGCTAAAGGCTGTACGGTCTAAGGATCTTTGCCTGTTCCATCACTGAAAAGGAGATGGACGAATATGGAAAAAAAAAATGACTATGCTAACCAGCGAAATGTATGGCGCCTCAAGAATAGAAATACCGACCCCGCGTAACGGGAAGAGACTAGGATGAATAACAATTTATTTACAATAAACATTCCTACAACATCGTAAGAGGTGACTAATTAAATTGATCACAAATATATATATCAGCAACATTTTTCTTTATAAGGTGTATATTATAATTGCACTAATGTTGTATAAAATATTTCTCATGTGAACTGACAACTGAAATTATAAATTAGAAATTTAAAAATAAATTATTTCATAAAATTCACATAAAATTACATCGGAAAAAAATAAATGTAAGAAATTTGCATAATAAGAATGCTTACAATGAAGCCGCCGAACCGTAACAAAACTAGTAATAGAAAAAAAACGTTTTTCTGTTGCTAGTTTTTTTACGGCAAATAGTTTCATTATCATATGCAACAAAATATATAATAACACTTTGTGGTACTTTGCATAAGAACAAATGTATTCTCATTATAAATACTTATAATACGAGTCAAGACAATACTAGTTTTATATAACAAATGTGTTTTTATTACACTGTAAAGATCGTAAATTTTTCAATTAAAACAGATGTTTTCCTAGAAGCGGGGAAGACGAAATTCACGATAACCTGGCGATAGCAGTTTTGCAAGCTAATTACCATCGACTGTAAAACGTTAATTGATCGTCAATATAATTGATATTTTTTCCATGAATCGTGTTTGAAGATAGGATTAACGAAACTTGAAGGTCTTGTAACCAGTCTGACAGTTGTAGATCGATGACGGGTCGGTGACTATACTACCTACAGTCCGAGGGTTACTTCATTTGGGTATAAAAATAAACAAGATCAGAGATAATAAACAGACAACATGATATGAGGATTCTTATGGATTATGGATTAGACTTACGAAATAATTGATTATTTTTATTTAACTTCAATGCACACAATCCAAAATATAACACAGTAAATTTGACGGACTTAACACCACGCTGCATTTTCTACCAGGAAACGAACCATATGTAGTGCAGAGAAAAAATGTTGTTTAATGGAATAATAATTATATCTTTGACGTTTTGTTTTATATCACGACTCGTCAGACTTCACGCGAATGAAATACATCTCTTTGAATTTCTTGAAATTTGCATACGTTGATATATTGTTTTCCTTAACTTAAGCTAAGAGAGGGAGTAAATATCGAGATGACTGCGAACAGAGATGAATGGAAGAGAAAAACATATAACGCCGACTCCAAATAAATGGGATATGGTAGAAGCAGATGATATTGTATTGTTTTACTTAATTTACGGTCAAGTATTTCCCAGTATTATTATCATACGACGTAGGTCATCGGTCATAGGTCATCAGTATCAGTGATGATGGTTGACATCAACACTGATAGCAGTCATTTACTCAAGTGATACTTCTGTTTCTACGAAACTAGAAATTGCGTACAATTCACGCAAATGAGGTCAATGATCTTTCGCTATCTTTAGATAATGGACATAATAATAGACGCATCGTGTGATCTGAAGCGAGTACCTAATCCATACTATAATAATATTTCTAATGCGAACGTATCTCTGTTTGTTTGTCAAGTTTTAAACAACATCTAAACGAATGTTCATAATATAAGACGAAAATGGACCACGAGGACGGTAGAAGGATTCTTTTCATCTCAAAAGAAGCAGATAAAGTTGCGGGTTACAACTAGTATTGATATAAAGCTACTTCAGTCTTTAATCGCCCAGCCGTTTCCCGCCCGTCATACTTGTTCACACGTGCTGCTATATGGCATATTGCTATATGGCAGTTTGTATTCACACAAAATTTATAAAATATAATGCTGAACAACAGTTATTTAAAAGAGTAACGCGTTTCTTTTTAGTTCTTGTGATGAATCTGCATTCCGAATCAAAACTATATGTTTATCTAAATAGTTACTTAATCGTAAAATAAATTATTTTTTATTTCAATAAAGATTATTTATATAATATTTCTAATTAATTGATAACTGTCAAGTACTTTGTTCATTCATATAACAATATAATAATGGGCGTGACATAAAAGCTTCAATGATCTAATGAGGCTATTAATTAGAAGTCTCGATCGAATATATGAAAATAAAACTACCATATTCGAATCCGATTCGCAGAATGATATACCTATACCTACCTATGTTTTTGTGTTTATATGACATACTATATTATATTACTTATATATATTAGTATCTTTAGTGAATTTTTCGTACTTGTTTATAAAAATAGCATAAGTGTGATTCAGACGGATAATTTTGAAACTTCGTGTCCTCGGATGGCAGATCTTCTGACAAAGTAATAATAATATCCTTGGATTTATTTATTTTACAATTCATATAATGCCATCTAGTGCCAAGATAAGCAGTGCTTGTAATACAGCTGACAAAAAATTCTTTAATGTATACTAATACGCATAACTTACGGTTGACCACCAGACGGTTACCTCTGGAAACCATCGTGATAAATTCCTGGTGAATATATCTAAATCTATATAAATAAATTGACCTCATGTTTGTCTTATCATCCTCCACTGGTGCCCTGCCAACGTAAACCATTAACGCAGGCCACCAACACCATACCATAATCATCCTTTTAAGAAAACGTAACTAATACCACAAATACATAAAACACCCACATCAACAATAATGACTACAAACATTAGTATCTTACGGGAAATCGAACCCGCGACCATCAGAATAAAGAAATTGCTAAACCACTAGACCACCACGGCCATCAACTGAGATGAGTTAACAATGTGAATCATACCTTTACAGGAGTGGACTCGGCGGCAGACTTGAGCTTGGCGCGGCCCGCCCCGCCCGCCTGACGAATCGCAGCCATCAGGCTAGCGTGGGCGTCGCCGGCCACCGGCGGTGCCGATGACGCCGAACTTTTGTCAACTCTGCGAACAAAACATTCATATATAGTTATTTCAACACACTACCGAAGATAATGGCTGTATAGGCTAAGTCCTTTTGCCTTTCCCTGAAAAGGGAAAAACTGAACCAAAAAAAAATATTGAAACATCAATAATTATACTTCTTTTAATAATAAAAAAAACTGCCTCGGTAGTTAGCGGTTTACCATACCGCTTTACTTCCGATGGTGGCGCGTTCGATACCTTCAAGGTACAAATATTTGGATTCTTGAGTATGATTGTTTGTATCGATCTGATCGTCTTCTAAATATATTATGTATGTACTACCAAAAAAAATCTAAGTTTTTATATCAGTTGTCTAGTAGGTACACATAACACAAGGTTTTATAAGGGTCTCATTTCGTTAGTAATCAGAGGTGCAGTCAACTGTCGACTTCAAGTCGAGGTGCTTGTTAGAAATCGGGGACAGGCTATTAATAATTATTGTTGTTTTGTATGATGATATGAAATTTTGTAATTTTATACTATATATACATAAAGCATATTATTCACCACAATGGACTTAATGATCTGAAATCATCCTTCACCGATATACTCGCTAGATATGCCTTTACCGTTCGTGGGTGCACTAGTTCATTATGGTCCGTAAAAAATTCTCACTACTATCGTGGCAGGAGACGAGCCTACCAGCGCAGCGCAGTGTTGCACTTTCGATTGATTTCGGTTTATAATCGATGTTTCAACAGAGAGTCAGTCAGAAAATTGAAACACATAGTTAGCATCCTCCAAATTTGAACACATGACAATGTAAGTTGAATAATAAACCCACACGACTACCACGCTGTATACGTTCTTGGTCTTTAGGGAACTCCCGAACCAAAAGCAAAAAAATCAGTACAAGGTCAACAGCAAAAAATCAACAATGACTAAAGTGTATTCCACGAAACACTTTTGGGACTGTTTAGTTATCTACGAACGTAAAACTGTCAAACAAGGACAAGAAGCGAACTCTGAGATAACATGTCATTCTTATAAAACTATTTACAATATTATTTATCAATATTGGCTTTATTGTGCCATTGACTCTACCATATGACATCCATATTTTCATAGAAAGAATACCTAAATACATATTATAAATAATCAAGAAATAAAATATTATTACATAAAAATGTAGTATTACATATCAAAATATTAAAATTAATAGCATAAGTAGCATTTTGATGTCGGTACATAATTTTTTTAACGTTTCACATAAGCTTTTGTGAAAATCACGTGGCAAAATATTTACGTTTCGACCCATATTTAAAAAACAGGATTGCTTTATAAATTATGCACACGGGAAACATTTAATTTATTGAGCAAAGCCTTACTCACTTATCGAATAAATACCGTACAAATATGGCAAATGTGCATGACAGGAGTTGTCCACGTAAGGGATTTCCAATTTAGTAATAGATATAACTAGCCAACTAAATAAGTCCTCTAATAAATAGATAATATTAACATATAGACTATAAAAACAAGAAATTGAGTTTCTTCCCAGTTCTACGCAACAGAAACTGTTGCCTGAACTGAACATATTAACGGTACAGAAAAAAGCTAGCTAATATGTATAACTTTTAAGTTTTAAATAATTTTAAATATAGATAAATTCTTTATTCACCAACTAGCTGTTCCCGCGACTGTTTTTCTGTAACTCATTTATGTTATGTGTCTTAATAATAATAATAATCTTAATAATAATTCGTAATCTAAATAAAATGAGGAGCATACACCAAAATAACATTTTTACAATTTTTGTCTGTTTGTTCCGGCTAATCTCTGAAATGGTTGAATGGTCCCGTCTAAATCAGACGGGATTTTAGGCAGGTAGCTGATATAATAAAGAGTAACTTAGGCAATTTTTATTTTAGAAAAATAAAGTTAAATTCCATATGAAGTAGCGGGCACAGCTAGTAAATAATAAGGATTACACGTATATTGATATGGTAAAAGGATATTAAACATGAAAGTTTGAAATATTTATAAACGAATAAAAAACTGTCATGATCCTCATGATAGGTCCAACGTTATTAACTTTACACAAAGATTCAATGCTGTACTAAATCGGTAGCCGGCGTTGTGCAAATTATCGATTAGCGAATTACGTACGCTCACGGTAAACACGCCACTCATTTTCACCTATCTTTATTATGCAAAACTATTTTTACTAGTTAGTTGTTATGATTCAACAAGCAATCAATCACTGTAGTGAAAACTCGATTAAGCAGATCAATTCTTGTCATAAGTAATTTAGATAAACAAAAATCATAACAAGATTATTAAATATACGAAGGAAAGCAATTTTTATATATTAGTACCCGCGAGAGTTAAAATCGGCCAGCTGAGATTAGCAAGAAAAAACGTACAGACTGACAGACAATTTTTTAAATAATATTTTGTTGTAAGTACCGCATATATGTTCACATAAATTTTGAGAAAAGCTGTCAATTTGAAATTATGGACAAATCAGTTTCGTTTATTTGTATAGATATATTTTATAATCTATTTCGCCCAACTATTTTATAGGTACGTTGTTATATGGTTATATATCTGGAATCATAAACAACTAATATAAATAACACTTATCAACATTTTGATTTGATTGGATTGGATTGGCAATTCGTTAACCACGACTCCATATTACTGAGGATCGGAGTCGGGTAATAGAGTCTTCCCTGTGTTACATAATTATTTTTCCATTTGCTTCTAAATACAACTACTTATAGTTAAGTACAATCAAATTTTTTCGTGTGTCGGATTTAAATTATGTGTTACTAGCTACTCGCCACGGCTTCCCCCGGGTGTACATGTATTATACATATAAACCTTCCTCCAGAATCACTTTATCTATTTAAAAAAACGCTTTGAAATCCGTTGCGTTAGTTTTAAAGATTTCAGCATACCTACATAGGGACGGACAGACAGCGACAGCGACTTTGTGGTATACTATATAATGATGATAATTTTATACTAGCGTCAAGATATAATAATATCTATTTGATTTCTATATAACGTCTAGGTGTGTTCCGACTTTACCCTATACATAAACAACGTCATATATCTGTAATGCACTATTTGGAATTAAGAAGAACATTACCTAGTTTTTATCTCGGTCAATCACATCAAAGTTAATGTAATGTAATAAGGACTCCATTTTCCGCACGTAGCCTCTCTAAAGTTCATATTTGAATTCGTTTGTAATTACACATGCATATATAATAAATTTATAATATATTATACTAGCTGTGTCCGCGGTTTCACCCGCATGAAATTTATAGCCTACGTGTTATTCTGATGTATAAGCTATATCACTGTAAAGTTTCAACAAAATCCGTTCAGTAGTTTCTGCGTGAAAGAGTAATAAATATCCATCTATACTTTGAATCACTAAAATTTTCGCATTTATAATATTAATAAAATTAATTCTTAAGGGTCGCCAACGAGCACGTGACACCTCTAGTGTTTCCTATACCTATCGACAGTCCGTAGAGCAACCATTTACCATTAAGTGGGCGGTACTTTGCCACAATCGTAGTACAAAAAAACTGTACACACATGGAGTTAAAGGATGTAGGAATTTTACTTATTAGGAATTTGACTTATTCCATACTAATATCATAAAAGCTAAACACATCAATAAGGACAACAAGGAAATGCATTTAGTAATCAATAGAAATGTGTTTAGTTTAAGTAAATTTAGTCACACATAAACACAAATATGAACAAAATGTATGCGGTAAGGTACGGTAACGTGCCATGCCTCCGTAACTTGTAATTTCACTGTCACATCTCACCCGTCAACCAAAACGTAGTTTACAAAGCAAATTACTTAGCGTATGAAGTAGGTGAGACAGACTCACTGAGACGCCTTTGTAACAAAGTCTACATTGATGAAATATTCATGCCAAGACTGACTGAATGTTATAGTCGCCTAAAATTACAATTCTATTTCTGTGTACCACAGTCACTGGACATAAAAATATTTCATATCTATTATTATTCAACAAAAATTGGTTTACCGGTCTTCTATTGAAATAAAAACATACTTTCTTTAATTCTTTAAGCAGGCCGCGAGAAGGAACCACGACAGTCATAAAAAGAGTATAATAACTACACCAGTATATCCTGCCTTTCTTTTCCATAGTTATGAATTCGATCATACTATATGTAATACAACATTTATATTCAGGAGTGCCTATGCACAGTTTTCATTGATGTTTAGTACTCATATTATAAGCTCTTCTTTATCAAGCACTAAATGGCGCGGTGCTATGTGTCCTCAGTTACTAATTATTTATTTTAGAAAGACTAGCGGTGTAAATTTACATGTTAGTAATCATATTGAATTGTCTTATTGAAATTCTGAATGAATATACTGTGCTATGAAGATTATTGATTAATTGGTAGTTATAATCTTCAGCAATAGTTAAGTTAGGTATTAATTTCATGTTCAACTTATAACAGGAAGTTCTGAACAAAATGGAGGAGGTTCTAAATACGATATATATTTTTAATATTACACAATATGAACGCCAGAGTGTTTTTATGTTAATAATAGTAAATATATGACTGCTATGAATGCCAATATCAACATACTAAATTAAAATTGATTATTTTTGTAGAAACAAATATGCCTACTTGAATTTTCCACGAATTTTGTATTCCCTTTCATCGGTCTGTTGCTTAGCATCTTCAGAGAGACGTGAGACTGAGACATTAATCCTCAGATGATAAACACGGGTATTAAGAATTCATTTTGTGAATTCTGTAATCTTATTCGACGCACATAAAAGCACGACAGGTGACAGGTTGTAAAGGGGGCAAGGGAGTTGTTAATAATACGAACTAATAACCCGATTGCTAGCAATGTAACATGTCAGGTTGACTTCCACGTGCTTCCCCCTGTTCCATTTAACCATTGTGACAAATTCATGGTGAATTTACCACGATAGGCTAACTGACCCGAATTCATGTTCATC